GTAATTATTTAGCAAAAATTATGCTTGAACCATTAATAATGTCAAATTTTGTAATGATCTTACAACTTATTAAGTCATCGTCAATACAAAGAGTCCTTATCACTTATTTTGCCTTAAGTATATAAATGTCAAGAATGAATCTTTGTTTTTTGAGGGGATGTCAAGATTGAATCTAGAGACTTATATAAACATATATAACTAGCCAATTGCATATGAAAATTGACTATAGGAGCTTATACGTATAGAAGAATAGGAAAATATGATCCCTCCTCGAAAATTAACAAATATTTGTTGATTATATTTTACTATCTTTATATAAATTTATTATCTTAATAATAACTTAATTGCTAGAGTATGTCTTCATGATGGAGAAGTTATTGCCACTATTACGTACCACGTAGTAATTAGTCTAGAAGATGATGAATGTTCTTGGTTTTTTTTTTCCTACCTTTGGTAATTTTACATCATAGATGACATCAACATGCAAGCAACAAATATCATCTTAAATAAATTTTGTTTATTTTTAGTTGGCACATTTTGACTATATCACTATTCACACTCTTACCTTTACTTGTGCTTTGTGATTTAGGGTATGTTCTCTGCAGCTTAATTTCAGTTCAGCTCAATTCAGTTCCTAATTTCCTTCTCTAGTAAACAATTCAGTTCAACTCAGTTCAGTTCAGTTCAATTCAATTCAGCTCACCTCATTTCAGTAAATCAGAATAGACCCTTATACGTGATAAAAAAAAATATTGTCATGTGGGGTGTTGTTAAATTCATCACGAATTATATATTTAAAATATCAACTTTTTTTATAATTTTTGCTTATCATTAATTAAAAATATTAACGGTTGAATTCGTGCACTGACAAACAAGACTAAAAAAATATGTCAACTAAAAAGAAACGAAAGGAGAGTATCGTTTATGTAGTATGTGGGCAATGGGGCTATCTCGGCCTCTTATAACAAAGCATAGCACGCATACACAATTGGTTAACACAAAAACTAATTAATTAAGATGCTTTATAGAAAATTAATTTGATTTATCTTATTCTCAAGATCGCTAGATAGGAATCAAGAAAAGTAGTATTAATTAATAATTGTATGTAAATCACTAGTTAGAAAGACTGTTATATACATCCGGATGTACCGAACATCCATGAGTATTTTGTTCTCATTTTGATGATTGTTCATTTTAATCATCAAATGAGAGCAAAAATTAACCTTGGATGTAGGATGCACCTGTGTGTATATAACAAATTCCACACTAGAATGGAGATTAAGGTTGGTTCAATTCATACCACGACTGATGTTTAAAATTCACTACATGTAAGAGATTTTCCTCTCTGTTGCCTCATATACGTTGAACTAGTTTTTAAACTCGTGCAATGCATAATAATCACTAGAATGTATTGTGGATTAATTAATAGTAACTAGTATAGCACCGATCCAATACGCATTTAATAAAGTTTAAAATAAATAATTTTTCACGGAACCTAAAATACACGGTTTTTCATCCATATACCCCTGAGTTTTTTGTACATATATCATATATCCCTAAACTTTTTTAAATTCATCATATACCCTTGAGTTTTCACAAAATACACCACATACCCTTGATGACTAGTGATTGCTAACTTCGTCAGTCATTAGGATTAATTATGACACAAAACCACCCTAAATACATTCCCTTACCCCCGAAACTAGGGGTGAGCAAAAATTCCGGGTACCCGGAATTGGAACCGGTAGGTCCGGAGCCGGAATTGGACCCAATGGTTCCAATTCCAGGTAATAAATTAAGGAACGGGCCGGTTGCAACCGATTCCAATTCAAATTCTTTATTTTTTGGACCCAGAACCGGTTGGGTACCCGGTTAATTAACTAACATATGCTACACTAAATAAGTTTTTTTTAAATAAAATTATGTTAACTGTATCTAGTTAGTAAAATAAAAAATTTATTTTTAATACCTAACATAAATAAAATATCTTACGGTTTTTTTCACCAAATGCCCTTGAACTTTTCAATAATTCACCAAATACCCTCAAGTTTTTCAAAATTCACCAAATGCCACTGACGTTTGTTAATATTCACACTGTGACCTCTAGCGTTAAAGTTCCGTTAGTAATAAAATTTAATTCACCAAATGCCCTATCTTTGTTAAACAATTACACAAAATACCCTTTTTTTTAAGTACAATGTCTAGTTTGAAATTTAAGGAAACTAGCCGTTAGTTTTGATTTTCACCCTTTTTTGCATAAATACTCGATACATAGCATCTCTCTTATTTGCTTAACCACAAATTTTTAACACCATGAGTTATCAATCTAAATAATCCTCCTCATTGTATGAGTACTTTTGTGTAAGAGTTGCAAACATTCTCTATTCATAAAGAGAAGTGTCGGAGACCTCGCAAACAGAGAAAAAGAGGGTCAAATAAAATAGAGGTGATTACTTACGGGCTTGGATGGAAAACGGATCGGACTATAGTTCATATTTTGTCCAACGGACTTAATATAGCAAACTCAAGCCCCTTTTATGCGGCTTGACAATTAGTCTATACCCACCCTAGTAAACAGTCTGGGCTTGTCCGTGGACTAGCTAGCGAACTCATAAGTTCTTACTGCAAATTTTCTCCTACTACCACAAGTTTTGTTTGCAACTCTTACACAAAAGTTCTCATACATTGAGGAGGATGATTTAGATTGATTTCTCAAGGAGTTAAAAAATTGTGGTTAAACAAATAAGAGGATGCTATGTATCGAGTATTTATGCAAATAAAGGGTGAAAATCAAAACTAACGGCTTGTTTCCTTAAATTTCAAACTAGATGTTGTACACTTGTACTTCTAAAAATAAGGGTATTTTGTGTAATTATTTAACAAAGTTAGGGCATTTGGTGAATTAAATTTTATTGGTAACGGGACTTTAACGCCAGGAGTATTTTGAGGTCACGGTGTGAATATTAACAAACGTCAGTGGCATTTAGTGAATTTTGAAAAACTTGAGGGTATTTGGTGAATTTTTGAAAAGTTCAGGGGCATTTGGTGAAAAAACCGAATATCTTAATGTACATATAAATATATAAGTGTTAAACGCTAAAAATGAAAATAAACTTAAATAAGTATCATAATTTATATTATATTTTAATAATTATTTACATAAGTGGGAACTTGAAACCGGGACCGGTACCGGTACCCCGTGGTTTCAATTCCAAGTCCTAAATTTTAGGACCCGGTTGAACCAATTCCAATTCCAATTCCGGTTCCGAATTTTAGGACCCGGTTCCAACCATTTCCGGGTCCGGGTCCTAAAATTTTGACCGGGTACTCGGTTTGCTCACCCCTACCCGAAACCACCTGCATTCCTTTTTCCCACTCTCAAAACCACCACAAAAATCCTTTTCTCATTCTCAATATCAATTGTATGGATATGATTATGGAGATTTGGAGTGATTTTGGGGGTTGGAAAAAGGAGATGAATGGTTTTGAGGATGGAGGAAAAGATCTAAGGTGGTTTCGATGTATATTTAACCAAATTTCATTAATCTTGTTATCATTAGGGATATATGGTGAATTTTTGTAACAAATCAGGGATATATAGGGCATATGGCAAGTAAATAAAAAATTCATGGGTATATGGTGAAAAAACAGTAAAATATATCTATTGAGTAATATAGTTGATTCCTTAATAACAAATCAATCGTTAATTTTCAAAAAATATACTTCCTCTGTTTTTCTTTTATTGCACCAAAAGGACTTTTACACTGTTTACTTAATCTTCTTTGACCATCATTCGTGATTTATCCATTAGGAAATATAAAGTCATGCGGGATCTAGTTAGATTCGTTTTGAAATCTATTTTTCAAATATCTATATTTTATAATTTTACAAAAGTATAATTGAAGACATTAATAGCTAAAGTAATGCAATGACAAGCGTGAAATCCCACATGGTGCAATAAAAAAGAATGGAGGGAGTATATCATCTCCAAAGTTGATTTTCTAAAAGGCATAATATTGCTCACTCATGTGAGCATTAGAGTTTAATTATGGAATTGGGGAAAGATCACACGTCCTTCTTGATTACCTCTCAATTGTTTCAGTGGTGGAAAGGAGAGGAGAGTGGTTGTCCATGGTATGAGAGGGGAGTTGGAAGCTTTTGGTGGTGGTGGTGGTGGTGGGATGGGGGAGTTGGAAGCTTTTGGTGGTGGTGGTTGAATGGTGGCTTAAACCCAACTAACGGAAACAGTAACGGTAAAGTCATTTGGTAGTGAAATATATATTTTAGGGATTTGTGTGGTAGCAATATATATATATTTTTTAAACGGGTAGCAAATGTGACACGGGGTGTTTTCGCTGGTAGTAAATCTCAATTTTTTCTAATATAAACGGATAAATTATTTAAAATTATTTATACACATGATGCATAGCCCTACTTTAATCTTCGTGTTAAAATTATTTTAATAAAATCATTTATTTACCTTCACTACACATCTTTTAATGTCCTGATTGGCAAAAGTAGCGGTAGCGGGTAGCTTTTAGCGGTCGAGTACCAGGTAGTTGTTAAGGTAGCGAGTAGCTGTCAATTAGTAGTGGGTAGAGGTTAGCTGTCAAAGTAACGGGTGATAGTATGAGTGTTTGGAAAAAATAGCAATTGCAATACTAAAATATATCAAATTTCATACGAAGTATAAATATTGTTTAAAAAGTAATAAAAATTTGCCAAACACTACCCGCTACTTATAAACACTGCTATTTTTAACGTTGAGAAAAACTTCCTAAATGTTACCTCTATCGCTAACTGTTATCAAAACCGCTACCTTACTAAACACTTTTAAATTTTTTATGATTGTGTTTGATGGGTTAAAACGCTAACCCCTAACCGCTACCTTAAAGTCTTAAACGCTACCATTAAACCGGGCCTAAAAAAATACAGGAAGTATTTGATTAATTAAATCACATCAATTAATTTGAATTCATATTCATATTTATATATACTCTCTTTCTCTCTCTATATCTCCCTCTTTCTTCAAGTAAACGATTCCTTGTCTTATTAAACTCTCTGAATTATAAACCCTAGAAAGTTCCTCTTTTTCTAATTGAGTTAATTTATCTTGGTTTCTGGAATTCTAAGTCTTGATCTACTCTGAACTCACCTGGGTATAATTCAGAGTTTTTTGGGGTTTGAAATTTTGCGTTAATTTAATTTGGTTTTCTCTGAGGCAAAACATAGGGTATGCATTTTTCTTATTGGTAAGCTCTTTTCTTTTACCTTTCTATGTTACCAATTTTCTAATATTTTCATTGGCTTCAGTTTGAAGGTTCTGCTGCACATCAGTTTTGCTTTTTAACGACTTTTTTTTTTCCTTACTTTATCCTCAATTTTTGCTTTCACGAATGGTAGATTAATAACTTGTATTATCTTTTTGTCTTGTTTTATGCAGAAATTGCTGGAAGTGGATTCTGTTTAATTGGAGATTGGTGTGATTTAGTATCCAATTTTACACAAAATTATTCTATTTGATTGAAGTCTTTCTGCTTGGAATATTGTCAGAGAATTTGTTCTTATTCGATTTCAGCTGATAGGTTTAATTTGGGTATTAATTTGAAACTATGTGTGATCATTTTTGACTCTTGAACAACAAGTTTTGGATTTTGGATTCTGGGTGTTTATTTTTATTTTTTTGGGATTAATGTGAATGAGATTGAGCATTTTGATCATTAGGGTATGATTGGTATTGTGGGATATTGGTTATTGTGGTTGAATTGTGGGTTCTTATGATCAGTGTTCATTTGGTGATTTTCGCGGTCAAGGAGGTTTGATCTGTGTTTGTTTATTATGATGATGGACGAAATTCAAGGTGGTTCAAATGCTTTGCCTCCTTTCCTTACAAAGACTTATGAGATGGTGGATGATCCCACCACTGATTCCATTGTTTCGTGGAGTTCGACTAATAAGAGCTTTATTGTGCTGAATCCCCCTGAATTTTCCAGGGTTTTGTTACCTAGGTTCTTCAAACACAACAATTTCTCTAGCTTCATTAGGCAGTTGAACACTTATGTAAGTCATATTCAATATTCAGTTTGTGAAACTTGTTAGTTTTCGCGTTGTTTTGATGATGTAGTACAGATTTAGCCTTTCAGGAGTATTTCCTTATGATTGTGTTTATTCTGTTCATGAAACAGGGTTTCAGGAAGGTGGATCCTGAGCAATGGGAGTTTGCCAATGACGATTTTATAAGAGGGCAATCACATCTTCTGAAAAATATACACAGACGCAAGCCGGTTCACAGTCACTCGTTGACTAATCTTCATGGACAGGTGAACTCGAATCCATTAACTGATTCCGAAAGGCAGAAATACAAAGATGATATTGAGCGACTGAAACATGAGCGGGAATATCTCCTGGCGGAGTCCCAAAGGCAAAGGCAGGAGGAGCAGGTATTAGAGTCTCAAGTGCAGCTTGTGAAAGAGCGCATGGAGTATATGGAAAAGCGGCAGCATAAGTTTGTTTCATACTTTGCTCAGATATTGAAGAAACCGGAGCTTGTTTTTGCTGTGCCTCAAGTAGAAAACCATGATAGAAAGAGAAGGGTGTCTTCTAGGCCTGACTACTTACATGATGAAACAAGCAACGAGGATAGTGTGGGTACTTTGAGAGTATCAAGGAGAGGAAGTCCTGATGAAACTTATGGTTTAGACCTTGACACTGATCTGTTGGAGAGGATGGAATCATCTTTGACATTTTGGGAAAATGTGGCTGAGGATATTGAGGAATTATGTGCGCTGCGAAATTCATCCATTGAGCTTACTGAGTCCACTACTTGTGTAGAGAGCCCAGCGATATCTTATACACAACTCAATCTTGATCTTCCGTCTACTTCATCAAGAATTGATATGAATTCCGAACCTCCTGTCACAGCTAGCATGGTTGCTCCTGATCCACCCCAGCCACGGAAGGAGCAAGAAGCTGGAAATGCTCCTGCAGCGCCACAGGGTGTGAATGATATGTTCTGGGAACAATTTTTGACTGAAAATCCGGGTTCATCTGATGTACAGGAAGTTCAGTCTGAAAGGAAAGAATCCGGATTGAAAGAGAAAGACAGCAGATTGATAGATCATGGGAGATATTGGTTAGGTATCAGAAATTCTAACAATCTTCCGGAACACATTGGGCAGCTTACTTCAGCAGGCAGGAGCTAATACTTTCTGATCCTTTTTGACATTGATGATTTAGAGTTGGATGTAAATATAGGTAAGATTGTTCCTGATACTTTTGCACTAATAGAAGTCAATATGCTATTGTAAAATTATAATGCTGGAGATGCCCATTTTACACTAACACTATAGACGTATAAGATTTTCTCGGCATGATTTCCTTTGAAACGAGTATTATCCAATTTATTTGGAGTATCACTATTGGAGTTTTCCTTGTTCTGCTTCTCTGCGGAAGTAGCTCTCATCATATTGCAGGTCATTGCTTGTTCGCATGCATTTTTGAGTAAATTAAATATGAAGCATGTATCTAGGTATCAATGTAAGCTATTAGGTTATCGATTGTCTCTGAAGCCTTTGCTCCAGTCTGAAGTATAGTAGGTCCCCTGTACATGCTTGGCTATTATTAGAACTTGTTTTTATCACAGCTCACAGATTTGTTTGTTATAAGTCATCATATTCAATACTTTATATGTAGTATCTTTTACATATCAATATATCATTCATCTTTGCAAAAGTTTGGTTTTGTTAAGGGCATAATTGTTGTCATAAACAAGACATTTTTTTTGTTTTTTTTTTATGGCTCTGATATACATACAATATTGGAACTTTTTTTAAGAAGCAAATGTTAGCTCATGTAGAGGATTGATTGGGTATAGCGGCCTCCACCTTCTCTAGCAGTGACCTCAGGACGATTCTGTCTTCCCCTTGGAGGTTTTATACTTTCTCCTCTTGCTCTGAAGTCTGAACAATGCTCTGTGCAGCTGTGCTGCAATTTCAGAGTAATTATGTTAGTTCATGTAGTAGCTCAAGCGGCTATCTTTAGTATGTGTGCATTGAATGTTGCCTCCTTGCTTCTCTCTTTCTATAAAATAGGGTATTTCCTGAGTCTTCAGCATAAGTCTCTGCTGGTTTACACAGGCTTGGTAGATATAAGACTGCATAGATTTGGCACGGTACAGACCACGCCTACAGCAGAGGCACACTGAGGTTGATTATTCTAGCTCATTGAGGTACATGGTTTCATTGCTAATTTATGTTTTGTGGCATAATTTCTGTCAGTCCTATGTTTAATTTTGGTAGCTGCTTACTATGTTCCAGCTTTTGATCTTGTTGCTTGGACTGTGTACTTGTGTCAGACATAAGTTTGTCATAGTGTCGAATTCGGCTTTTTGTCGAGTTTTTTTTTTTTTTTCATGTTTATGGTCCAAAATGAAGTGTCAAGTGTTGAGGAATCCAACACAGATACTTGAGGTAATATGAAGAGTCAAAGCAACAAAAGAAAATGAGAGTACACAGTACATGTCAATTTACAATATTGTTTCCTAAAATGCGATGTCACCGATACAGTGACAATTCCATTTTTGATCAAATGTTAATGATGCTGGTACAGAGAGAAACCAATAAGAGGTTTGTAGGGGTTAGAGGGGGTGGCTTCAAGTCTTTCTATGATAAGTTGACATTCCTCCTAACTTTAAAAGGAGAAAGGCTTCAAGTGCACATCATTAGTTTGTTGGCAAATGTGTACTTACCTATCATACTTTACACCTATCTCTTTTGTTATGATTTAACCAACCAAATTGCCCTTTTAGCCCTATCTGTATCAGTGCTGCCCTTAACTTAATTGGTTTTTAGCCTGCTTCGTAACTTCTGGTGTGATTATGTGGCACCTATATTAACCAAGAAAATTAACTTTTTTTTTTGTTTTTTGTGGTGATTTTGTGGTTCATATATTGGATACTTTTGACTTTTGTAATTGGTAACCATTTGCTGGAATTAGGGAAGCAATGCATCATTACATCCTCTTGAAGTGCCTTCATTTAGGCTAGGATTTGCATCTTGAATAAAATTGTTCCTAACTAACTTGCATGTTGTATATATGACACCATTATCTTGCATTTTGAGTTTTCCTTATTGTCTGCCTTCTATGTAGTCATGTCCTATTTGTTAGACTATAATAAATGTCAACTCATTCCTAGCTTGAGATTGTTACCTCTATATTTTGGTTATTGTAGAATCGAGCACTAAGGTCTGTCCAATTCGAGTGTACCCTCTTCTTTTTCATTTCGTGCATGAAACAAATTTTTATTACTCCCTCTATGGCTCTATTTTACTTCAAAATTGTTTTCTTAATGTTATGCATCAATTTTAAAAAGGGGTTATTTATATGAGTGACATTTTAATAGCAAGTCCATCACGTTAAGTAATAATTTTTTTTCTTTTTGAAACAACGTTAAGTAATAATTATAAACAATTAATGAGTGTAATTTTTAATCGATTAAATTCTATGAACATCATTTATGAATTTTCTAATAATTAATTAGTTGTAAACCGAAATTAAAGTGTCTCTTATTTAAACTTATTGTCTCATGTCTAAACCCTATTACAATAATTTAAACTTAATTTTCCACCACCTGGTACTTTTAAGGTGCACAGAACATAGCCGAAATGAGATCAAGTTCTCATTGTAAGAAATTCCAGAATGGATACATTAGTATCCTACACGGTACAAGGATGTGACCAAGATGGGAATACGTGTGTAATAAAGCATAAGATCTTCCAAGCTGTTAAATTGAAAACCCAATTCATTCACATACGAAAAAAATTCTCATAAAGAGTTCGGCCTTCTAATGTCAACGCATATTTGGTGGTATACTTTGTTAGTGCTGTTTCCCAAAAGTACTCATGTTAGCTTTCAGGTTGTTGGAGACTTTTGTGGCATTTGTTTATTTTATTTATCTTTTTTTTTTTTAACTCCCAACTTGCTAGACAAAGTGAATTTTTTTTCCTTTTACATTCCCCTTGTTCCGATTGGATCTTGTCTGGCATGCCTGCTAAGTGCTAACCCGGATTAGGTTAATCTATAAGAAGTTTTAGGCTGTTTATCTTCTCTTTCCCTTGAAAAAAAAGAAGGTTGTGAAAAAACTTTAAATACTTCCTCCGTTAAATGTTATTCCGTAATTGCAACAAAAGGATATTATTTGCAAAATATAAAATATTTCTTTGTTGCAATTAACATTTAACGAAGGAAGTACGAAATTTGCACTATTTACTAGTGGTGAGCATAACAGGGTACTGTGTAAAAATTTCCGGAACCGAAATCAAAACCTGTTGCAATAGGTTCCTCAGAATGGGAATCAGAACCGAAACTTGTTGAACAGGTTCCTGGAAATTGGGAACCAGAGGTTCCGGTCCGATTCAGGGTACCCTATATTACAATATACTCACTAACTTTTTCGCGAATTTTTTAATAAAAAACTAGTTGGTCACTAATTTATAATGTTTGCAGCTTGCAAATAAGACAAACTAATAGTAGTTGTCTAACAAATTTAATATATATATTTTTTATAATTGTAATTTTGATATTTATTATTTAAATATTGAGTAAGAATTAGTGTATAATTTGAAATTAAGTGATACTTTTATCAAGTACAGGGTACCCTACAGGTTCCGGTTCCAAAAAATTGAGAATTGAAACCAAAATCTGTTACAACAGGTTCTCTAGTTTGCTACCTGGAACCGGAACCTCTTGTACAGGTTCCGGTTTTGGAACCTGCGGTTCCTAACATATTCCGGTTCCGATTCAGGGTACCTTGATTTTTCGCTCACCCCTACTATTTACGTTGGTCCATTTGACCATCTTTGTTAATTTATTTGTTAAATTAATATAGTTATGTAAAATCTTGTTAGATTCATCTCAATTTATTTTCATAAATTAAATTTATTTATATAGTAAAAAATATATAAGATTAAATGCAATATTGACAAGCATGAAAGTCAAAACGTTGCTACTAAAAGAAAGTAGAGGAAGTAGTAGTAAAAAAATGTAATAAAATGTTACAAGTGTTTTAATGTTCCTGCTAGTATAAGTAGTATAAGTTTCACTGTATACCAGTGGTGATTTCAGTATGGGTTCAGTGGGTTCAGCTGAACCCATACTGGATTTGGAGAAAATTCGTAATTTAGAGATAAAATAAATATAAGATAAATAAATATGCAACTACTAAATGACTATGTATTGTTTGTGGTTCAGCAGTCAAGAACTCTTGTGAAAGACTCTCACTAGTTGACGCGGGATTTAATCCCATGCCAAACCCATTTTGCTTTTTTATTTTTTTCCAAAAAAAACTGCACATTTTATATAGTACTACCCGCCTATTAATTTCTATGATTGTTTTGTTGCTTCATTTGACTTTCATTATATTGTTTCTACTTTTTTTTATTAAATTTATTAAATATGTATTTACTTTTTTATTATTCTTGCATGATTACTGATCATTATTGGTAGTATGTATCTAATTAAGATTCAAGACACCATAGTATGAATAGGAGGGTATCGATCTAATAATAGTAATTAACGGTATGGATCAAAATATTATAGTGGCTACAAAATTAGTGTGGTCATTGTAAAACTATCCTTATATACTACGGAGTACCTTGTAAATTTCAATAATTATTTTTGCTTCATTTCCTGTTGTTACTGAATATTTTTTCCTTTTTTTATTAAATTTATTAAATATGTATTTTTTTTTATTATTCTTGCACGATTACTGATAAATTGATTAAGGCTCAAAGCTTGAGTCTCTTCTCATTCATCTCAAAATCATATATAGAGTACATAAATTCCTAAAATATATTGTCACAAGATATTCTATCAATTATCTTGTGTGAATCAAAGGCTATAAATTAGGAAACAAACTATATGATAAATACGAATAATATTCTCCTAATATTTTTCCCAATATTTCCTAACACCCCCCCTCAAGTTGGAGCGGGTGGAGTGAAGACGCCCAACTTGGGAAGAAAATGGTCAAATTGCGATTTGCCCAACGGTTTGGTGAAGATATCAGCCAGTTGGACATGAGTTGGAACATAGGAGGGAGCAATGAGACCATCCGTGATAGCATCCCGAACAAAGTGACAGTCTACTTCAATATGCTTTGTACGTTCGTGAAACACCGGGTTTTTTTGCAATATGCAACGCTGACTGACTATCACAGAATAGTTTAATAGCCTTGGGATGTTGTACTCCTAAGCTCAAAAGAAGACCCTTCAACCACTCTAATTCACAAGTGATGGCATACATGGAGCGATACTCTGCATCTGATGAGCTTGTAGCGACAGTCGGTTGTTTCTTGGTCTTCCATGAAATAGGGGAATAACCTAGAAACACCAGCCATCCCGTCAAATATTTGCGTGTTAAGGGACATGCGGCCCAGTCAGAATCACACCACCCCTGCAGAGTGAGTTCACTCTGATCGTAACAAAATGCCTTGACCTGGTGTGCCTTTCAGATACCTAACAACACGCAGAGCTGCATCCCAATGTTCTTTTCTTGGTTCCTGCATGAACTGAGACAAAATATGAATCGAATAGGCTAAATCCGGCCTAGTGACTGCAAGGTAGATCAATCTGCCGACAAGTCTACGATAGGATTCAGGATCAGAAAGTACAGGACCACTTGCTAGACCAAGCTTGTGATTTTGCACCATAGGAAAGTCCGCGGGCTTGGAACCTAATAATCCTGTCTCTGAAATAATGTCAAGAGTGTATTTTCTCTGACATAAAAACAACCCAGAAGAACTGCGAGCAACTTCTATGCCCAAAAAATATTTCAGAGTACCAAGATCTTTCATATGAAAACAGTCACCAAGATATGTCTTGAATGCCCTTAAAGCAGCGGAATTATTCCCAGAGATAATGAGATCATCAACATACACAAGCACATTAATTTGTGTGCCACGGTTAGAGTAAGTAAACCAAGAATAATCAGAGTATGACTGCAAGAAACCATATGCCTTCAAAGCAGAAGTAAGTTTGGCAAACCAGCATCGAGGAGCCTGTTTCAGGCCATATAAGGATTTTCTAAGGCGACATACCTTATTAGGATGCGATGATTCAAACCCCGGAGGTAGTTTCATGTAGACCTCTTCGTCAAGATCGCCATGAAGGAAAGCATTGTGTACGTCCATCTGATGAAGCTCCCAATTTTTAGAAGCTGCAATTGCAAGAAAGGCCCGAACAGTGACCATTTTAGCCACGGGTGCAAACGTTTCAGAGTAGTCAATGCCTTCTTTCTGATGATTTCCAAAGACAATTAATCTGGATTTTAGTCTTTCAATACTGCCATCTGAATTGTACTTGATTTTATACACCCATTGGCTTCCGAGAGGACGTTTTCCGGGGGGAAGAGTCTCCATTGTCCATGTTCCATTTTTTTCTAGAGCCTGAATTTCATTTTGCATTGAACGTCTCCATCCTGCATCTTTCATGGCCTCCTTAAAAGACCTTGGCTCTTTGCCGGAAGTTACAGCTGCAATAAAATTTCGGTAATGTGGAGAAAAGCTGTCACAATTAATATAATGCGCTATAGGGTAAGGAGTATCTAAGGGATGCTTTGGAGGCGAAGTGTTAGGTGCTGAAGGAGATGGACTATTTGTGATGACTGTATGCGTAACATAATCCCGCAATTTGACAGATGGAATTTTCGGTCTCATACCCCGGCCCAAATCTGCCTGAGCATGTTGTTCGGTGTGTGAAGACTGCTCGGTTGCAGTAGGAGGCTGCTCCGTTGCAGTTGAAGGCTGCTGTGTTGTGCCTTCTTGCTGCTGCCGTGCTGCAGAATGCTCCATGCTGCCAGCAGCTTGCTGCCGCAACGTTGCAGTGTGGTCCGTGCCTAGGCCGCGGCCAGCACGCTCCTGCCGCAGGCTGCCTGCGGACTGGTGTGGCTGTGGCTGTCCGTGGGCACCTGCAGCTTGCTGCTGCTGCGTGGGCTGCTCACGCACCTGCTGTTGGGCATGTGGCACACCACCCTGACCAGTTGTAGCCTCCCAAAACCCCATACTCACCTCATCAAAATCATACGGCACATCTACATTCATTGGCACAATATTTTCCGGAATAATATTGGACGTTATTGGATCAAGAAAAGGAAATACATCTTCAAAGAATTTCACATCACGAGATATAAAAAATTTTCTCGAATCAAGATCAAATAAATTCCAACCTTTCTTTCCAAACGGATACCCAACAAAAACACATTTTCGACTCCGACTTGCAAATTTATCTCCCTTAGCTTCTTGATTGTGAGCAAAACATAGACACCCAA